GCAGCCGCGGCGCGTCACAAGCCCCGGTGTCCGTGCCCCCAGTCACAGTGAAAGTTGTCTCCGCTCAGAAGAGCGGAGGTCCAGGGCTCGCCAGTTTCCCCACCGCCGCTGCTTCCACACGCCGCTGGTTCTTTCCCGGGGAGAGATGAGGCGGAAAGAGAAGAGGCTGCTGCAGTTCGCCGGGCTGCTCATAGCCGCTCTCCTTTTCCTCCCGAACGTCGGGCTGTGGTCTTTGTACAGGGACCGAGTGTTCGACAACTCGCCCGACACAGTGGACGGTCCGGGCGGCGGCGTCCCCCCGATACAGGTAAGGGAAAAGCTCGGCCGCGCGGGTGGCTCAGTGTGGCGTGGCGTGTCGGTGAGGGCTCGTGTCTCCCCCCCCCCGCCCCCCGGGTTGTCTCGCTGTGTTTACGCGGTGACGGTTCCCACCAGAAATACTTCAAATGTTAGTTTGGTCGCTGCAGAAAATGAGATTCAGCGGCTGAAACGCTGCGCACTTCCCCCGCTGTCTCTGAGCTCCCCGTCTCAACGCTTCACCCCCCTCCCCTCTCCTCTCCTCAATACATCAACCTTGACAATTCCCATCGTGTGTGTGCATTTATGTACTTATGTATGCATGTATAAATGTGTGTGTGAGTGATGTGATTTACAAGATGGACCCTCTTTCTGGCACCGTGTCAGCGTGGCAGGTCATTAGTTACGGCGGCCAGGATGAGCGGGGAGCCACGTAGTAGCTAACCCGGAGCTAGGCGTCGCAGCGAAGTTGCAGTAACGGGGGAGTTCAGGAAGTTGTCAGATGTTCCTGAAGGCGCTGCTGCGTTCACAAGGTGCAGCTCAGGGTCAGGGTCCGGGGTTGTGTGTGTCCACTCAGTCATGACCCACCCCCCCACAAATTAAATCCTCATCCTCCTTTTCACTCATGGAAGTTTGTGTGGGCGAGTTGGTTTGTTGTTTCAATCTTGTTGGTCACTTTTGTCATTAATTATTGAGTTTATAAAATGTCAGGAAATGTGAGCTTCTCTTTTTTTTTTTTTTTTTAGTTTCCCATTGGTCAGATTTGCGTATTTAGTTGTTTATTCTGTCTTTGTCGTGTCCAATAATACAACACAAAGCCTCATGACTTTCAAGTTATAATGATACAAAAAAAAAACGTAAAATAGCAGCAAATTCTCACATTTGAGAAGCAGGAAGCAGAAAATGTTCCTTTGATAAATGACTTGTTGTTAACTTTCCAACTTTGGATAAGTTGTGGTGATACAAGTTTTGAGAGACACAATCAGGATTTTCTATGAATCAGAATTTGGGATTTCCTTAAAGACTTTAAGACTTGTGCATCGGTTGATACTGAGCACTGATCCCTTATGGATGTTAAACCCTCTGTGCAGCATGAACAGACACATAACTGTCGTTTATTATCTAATTTGACTGTCAGTCATAAAACAACAATACATCTAGGAATAATTCCTGCACTAGTTTTCCTAACATCTGAACCACCCCTTCACATTTAAAGCCTTGCACAATGTACACGTTGCCTTTTTTTTTTTTTTTTTTTTACTGGTGGGACTTTCCAGTTTAACAAGTGGCCAAATTTCTGACATTTTTCTAACGGCTAACATAGTTCCGAGGGGCTGCACAGCTTTACTTCCTGTTTTAGAGCAGTGCAGAAGAATTGATTTATGGGAAAACAGATTTTACCCTGGTGTGAAACTAGTCGCTGATACTCTGATCCAGGGTTTTAGGTGGGAGCTGATGCTAGTATCAGCAGCTAGTGTCAGGTTCATTTACCCATATCAATGTTATTTCCTCCTTCTAATGATGCATTCATGACGACGTCCCATGTCCGGTTGCAGTCAGGAATTAAGTTGCATCTTAAACAGGGTTTAAAATGTGTTTTGACTGAACTGCAGACAGAATATTTTCATCAAGACTCTGAAAGGATTTTGGGAATAACTTCACAAGATGGTGCCTTCAAGGTCTGTTTATTTCTCGAGGAATACAGGGGCCTGTTTATGTGGCTTGGATTGAATCATCAGTGCAGAAGTCATAAAAGCTAAAAGGTTGGGAAAGAAAAAAGATGAGATGCACAAGCTGTTGTGTTGGTCCACATAAAAATTCAAAAGAACCCAAACCAAAACGGAGCCAGTGTGGCAGACAATAGTAGCCCCTCTTATTCAAATGAGACAGAATCTGCTGAATGGAGGCTTTCATGGGTGGTGTGTGTGTTAGTGGTGCTGTGTGTGTGTTGGTGGTGGTGTTTATCCAGATGCAGCAAACTTGCTTGACTGGACTCTATTGTAGGTGTTTAGTGAGAAGGACTGAGTGAAGCTCAGCACTGATGCGTTACATGTATCTTCATGCAGAATTAAACTAGAATAATGTATCAAATGGCTCCAGAAACAATTAATTTCACGATCTCTTCATTGTTCGGTCCATAAATCCACATCAAAAGTCCACAGTGTTGTCTCTCCCCTTGTCTTGTCGTTATCAGCGGCTGAAGCTAATTTGCAGGCTGGATCGTGGGCGACGATAACGCCGACTTGTTCTGCACAGATTCCCTCCAAGGATTTCTCTCTCTCTCTCTCTCTCTTTCTCTCTCTCTCTTTCTCTCTGCTCAAGTTTGGATTTGATATTTTCAAATGACAAGAAATGTTACGAATGGGATTAAGGGACATCTACAAGACCGGGGAAAATCCTGTTACAATTTAGCAAACTGTGATAACAGCTGTCAACCAACCCAGAGCGGTTTGATCACAGACAGGCTGATTTGAGAAAAAAAAATAAAAAATGATGCCGACTTTCTCCAATAATGGTAGAGCTTTTAAAGGCAAACAAACATTTGTAAGTAGTTTAACAAGCCTCAGATCCTTCAGCCAAACAAGGTCGGCAGGTTTTTAACTCACAAACGCCTCATGTAAATACAGCCGTGACTGGAACATGCCGACCTGATTCTCTCCTGCACATCAGCTGTTATTAACTATTGTTCTGCTGTCATCACCTGAGCGGAGACGCAGATGTGGTGAAGCTGTAATTCAATAAGTGGGGTTTGCCTCGAAGGTTAATGTTACAGGTACGGGTGTGCAACTGACATGAAGTGACGAGCAGAGGTGGACAAAGCTCACAGCTCCATGAGTCACAGTGTAGGTCAGATATTACTCCATTACAAGTGAAAGTTGTTCTGTCAAATTCGTATTTATTTATTCATCTGGATCCCCATCAGCCACTAGCAAGGTAGCTACTACTCTTCCTCCTCAACTGAACAATTACATCATAATGCAAAACAATAAAGAAAATAAGAAAATAACGTCAAATACAAACCAACAGTAAAACTACTAATAACAATAATAACAACAGTGACAGGTTCCCACGCTTTAAACAGTCAGTAAAACATCTGACACTTAAAACAAAAGCAGCTTATACAGTGACCGACAGCCCTGAAATAAGTTTGAAAAACACAATGGAAGTGTTCGACACTTTTACAGGAGCACCGACCTGGAGATGAGACCTGACAGATCTGTTTTACCGGTCTGCACAGCGGCTAGCAGCTCAGTGGAAAAGGAGCCAATCGGCTTTTATTAGCAGGTTTACACATGTTTAAGAAAAGAAAGAAAAAACCTGCTTATAGCTGCTAATTGTTGTGGAAGACGGTTATGACATTGCATCGCTAGGTTTAAACTGAGCTGTTCAAACATGACTGAGTGTAGGAGTTGGCTGTGATTGGTTTTTCTCCTGTGATGAACACACTGTATGGTCTATCACATTTATTTTCAAAATAAAAGCAAATGCATTCCACTGAAAGTAAGAGTACTTCATAGAAATGTAGTGGAGTCACAAGTAAAAAATTTGTCTTTTTAGTGTAGTGGAGTAAAAGTCATAATACTACTCGGGTAAAGTAGAGATGTCCAGTACATGCAGGACACTGACCTCAGCCCAACACAGTGTCTTTCTCCGAAGGCGTTGACCTCTGCACTGTGCTAATGCTAACACCACTGTGTCAGCTACAGCAGCTATAAGTGGTGTAGGCCGGGGGATGAGTGTTTCATACTGCTGTAGCAAACAGGAGCTGCTTCAGAGCCTCCCCGCCGTGACAGTGACAGAAAGGTAATTTGCACATTTCCACGTCTCTTATTAAGGATGCCTGTTGAAGCAGAGGTGGCTCAGCTTCCTCCTGTCTGCTCCAGCAGCTCAGGTTAAGTGGAGATTAGAGGAGATGAGAGCGGCAGGTAAAAATAAAAAAAAAAAATAAAAAAGAGGCTGCAGAGTTTGACCTGTTAAGTTTAGATTTTCCTTAAAATAAAAACAAAAAACACCCTTAAGTCCTCTCCTTCAGCTTTCCTTACAATGTTCACTGAAGTATTTAATGTCTTCCCCTTATCTTGGTCTTATACTTAAGGAATCACTCGACTGATTATTTCTCTCATCACATGTCTTGTGGTAAATAAAAACATCACATGGATGTTAACGAGGTGAAACGCTTGATTTTCATCGGAGGGGGGTCTTTAATTGACGACTCTAACTTGCCTGTCGGCGTGAGTGGTTGTCAGGACGATGTGTCGTCTTGCTGGCTTCTTCTCTTTAGTCTCTTTAACTTATTTGGGACCAATTTTTCCACCAGTTTGAGGTATTTTGATGTGGGACAGCCACGTCGTTTTCACCTCAGACTGTTCGATGATGTTTTTTCTGTTGCTTGCTTGACAGTGTTTTGTTGCATTGTTGTAAAATCTTGTATTGTAAATCTTCTGCTGTTGTCCCCAGTCTCAGCTGTGGCAGAGCGGCATGTTCAGCAAAGTTTGCAGTGATTTTTGGGTGTTTATTCCCGGGACAGTCCAGGATTTGATGATGACAAGTATCACATGCTGCGTCTGCAATGTCACTGATGTGAATATGTTGTTCTCCTTAAAAACGTTTGCAAAAGTTGTCTGATCTTCCACCCGAACTTCTAACCTTTGGGTTTAGATCGAGTGAGCGGAGGCTCAGCTGCCTCCAGCGACTGTAACTCAGGACTTCCTGTAGCTGCTTCGCTGTCGAGGCAAAATTCAGCCTTTTGGTGTGAAGCACTTTTGGATGGAACCGGCATGAATTATTGATTGATCAGTCGACTGCGAAATGAATCAATAATTAACCTTTCAAGTCACAACTTCTGAGATGTGAGGAGCTGCTTTTCATTCTCTGCCTGGCAACCACAAAAATAAAAAATTTAAAAAATGTTCATAAGGAAACAGGTGTCACTTGTGGTACTCATACCTTGACAGGTAATGGTCCTTATTGTTGAAAATTACACTAATTATAAAACTAATAATCCAAAGGTTA